ATTCTGGTTGTACTTTTCTTCCAAGATAGATTTGTTCATTTTCTGGCAGTCCATGATGTAGTCAATGTTCTTTGCCAACACCATGACTCAAAAGCATCAATTCTTCTTCACATTTTCTAATTTGCAGTCCAACTTTGACCTGCAAATAAGGTGAATGAAGACTCTGGCTTAGGTCTTTTGACTTTGGGTGTGTTGCTTCCATAGGTGTTGCCTTTGGGTCTAATAAGGTGAAATTCTTAAAAATGTTAATATTTCCTGTTTACCGTACCGTCATTGGTCCAGTGGCGAGGATTTTATTTTCTTGAGGTGTAATCCATACGAAAGGCAGTCTTTGATCTCCATCAGGAAGTGCCTCAAATCTTCCTTGCTTGTAGCAAGGTTATGTCGTTGGAATACCACCAGTTGTTACTGAACCTTCATCTAATCCTAATGCTCCATTCTTCTGTATATAGGCCAGCTCCTCAGATTATTTGCTCAGCATGCTGATTAAATATGCATCATCAAAGAATACAACTCTGACACACACCTTCCTTGATATTTAACCAGCCAGTATCCCTTTATTCTGTTTGGATCATTACCCGTTGGCTCATGTACAGGGTTCACATGAACACTATGAAGTGTTTTGAAGTCCCCACTCTTTGCTATGAGTTTGTTATGATCCACCCACATGGCCAAATTACTTTACATTGTAATAAAACACAGATAAATATCTTTCTGGCAGTCTCTGCCTTCAGCCAAGATCCATTTGAACCAGTTTGTATTTTGGCAGCTCTGTGCCAATGTACTGCTGAAATGGTTTTGAATTACCTTCCCCTAAATTTTACTTGCATCTTAAATTATATTATGCAGCTTCTGAATTCCATTGAGTCACCTTTGCTTAGAATGAGCACAAATATGGATCTCTTGCAGTTGGTTAACCAAGTAGCTAATCTCCCAATTTTGAGAAGGGATACTGGCAAGTGCTTCCAGGGCTTCATCAATTTGTTGAAACATTTCAGTTGGTAATCTGTTAATTCCTGGAGTCTAGTGCATAGGAAGCAGCTTGCATTTCTTCCTTTACTATTGGCTCTTGATCATATGCTACCTCCTGTTTAAAAAAAACTGACCACCACTTTTTGGTAGATTAACTACGTGTAGTCCTCCCATCTTCTTGTGATGTTTCCTGCTTCATTCAATATTCTACTCATAGAATCAATCCTTAAATATTGCAACTCTAGGCACCATTTATCAGTTCTTTCAGCTTGAAAAATGCCAACCATTTTCCACTTTTGGCTTCCTAACTTTCTTTGCTTGCATATTTGATCAATCTGAGACTGCAAAAGTGGATTGAATTCAATTTCCTTACATTTAACTCTGGTGGTTGGTGTGTTAAGTAACTGGTCTTCCTTAGAATATGTATACTATTATCCTAACACTGACCACATACTTCAGGACAAATATTGAACTGTTTTTTTGACTGATTGTGATGCTATTCCTTCTCAGTCATTTCCAGCATAGTAAAGCACATTTTTCCGACTCGAAATGGCCAATTCTGGTTCATTTTGGCTGGTTAATGCCTACAATATTGCTCTCTATGCATTTCACTTTGTTTTTCATGATCTCCAATTTTACTAAATGTGGCGCGCGGATGATACGGCGCAGCACGGACCGAGACAAGAATGGTCAGGACCCTTCTGGTAGATGCAATCTGCGAAGTTTATTGACGCTGCTTCTGAGCCCGAAGTCAGCTGCGGAAGACCCCAAGCTCCTAAAACCCCGGGTATAAATACCCTGCTCGGTGACGTGTCCTACCAGGATTGGTGCAATGTGATAATGCGTAGCGAGCGGCTGGCAGCGCATGCGCAACAAGCTTGTTTACAGCTCAGCTCTGACAATGCGGGCGCGGTCCGGTGCCATCTTGTAATGGCGTCCACAACTAAAGCCATACTTTGTACATTTCATGTTCTCATTTTCAACTGCTCTTTCCAGCAGTTTCTTCCCATTCTGAGTAGTTCCATACGACCAAATGAAGGTCCCCCACTTGGCGCTATCCACCATCATAAAGGTCAACTCTACTTTGGAGCAGTTCTTTTCCAGCCATGTTTTGAGTGTTTTCCAATCTGAGGGAACTGTTTCCAGCACAATATCAGAAAATGGTTTGCTGCAATTCATTAGATTTCTAGTGGCTCTCTTTTCAGAAACTATATGCTTTTTCTAACTAGTCTGTTAGTGTGCATGCTCTGCTGAAATTTGTCCACCATCAGTGACCCTGTTGATTTTTGAAATATTAGTGGCAAAGCTTTCAATATCACAGCAAGAAGCAAGCCACTACAATACAAAATACGGACAGAGATGAGTAGTGGTTTATACTTTAAAAGATTGAAAGCTATTACTAAAAACAAGGAGGCTAAGGTTTTCCCTTAAAAAAAAAAACACCTCAAAAATGTTACTTGTAATATAGTTTTAATACTTTTGATCCGCAATGAAACTAGCAAGTTGCTATTTATTTTTGTAAACAGAAAATGCTACACTATATAATCAAACAATAAAATATGAGGGGGTAAACCCCCCCCCCCAAACGGATTTTTTTTCAAAGCTACATATTTAAGTTTTTTTTACAAAACAACCTTATACCCTTCAAAGAACTCCCCATTACACTCCATACATTTGTCAAATCTGCAATTCCATTCTTGGAAACATTTCTCAATCTCACCTGTTTGGATGGTTGACACAATCTCTCTCGTTTTTTCTTCACCTCTTCTACATCATCAAACCACTGTCCTTTCGTGTCCCTCTTTATTCATGGAAACAAAAAGTCATATGGAGCGAGGTCAAATGAATAAGGTGCATGAGGCAAGAGGCATGCTGTTTTTTGCCAAAAACTGGTGCTGATACGGCTGTGTGAGCAGGTGCATTGTCGTGGTGGCAAAACAAGTCCACTGTCTGCCACAAACCAGGCCTTTTTTGTCACACATAGTTATGCAATCTTTTCAGAACCTCTAAATAGATAGCTTAAATAACAGTCTAACCTGGTGGAACAAACTCCAAATCCATTATTCCCCTCACAACAACAAAAAATGACCATCATCAGATCTTTGATTTCACTTGATGAGCTTTTTTGGGGGGCGAGGTGACAATGGTCCCTTCCACTGGCTTTATTGGTTTGCTTTCGGGGTCCTGGTCATAAAAATAATACCATGTCTCGTCACCAGTAATGACCTTGAGAAAAAAATTCCGGGTCGCTTTGGAGCTGTTCTTGCAAAGTAGGGGATGTTTCCACTCAATGCTTTCCTGGTCAGTCAGTCAGAACCGGAGGCACAAATTTTGCAGCAACCCTTCTAATTCCCAAATCTGTAAAATTCGCTGAACCAAGTGCCAAAATAGTCCAGATAACTTCTTTATCTCTCCAACAGTCCGTGGTCATGGTGCAAAAGTGCACGAATTTTGTCGACATTTTCATCTCTTCAGGAGGTTGAGGAACACCCAGGTTTGTCATCGACATTTCACTTTTATTGAAATGAGAAAACCACTTGTACACTTGAGTTTTTCCCACAGTGCTGTCCTTGGAAGCTATGTTGAACATCACAAGTTTCTGCAGCACTTTTTCTGAGCAGGAAACAAAATTTCAGTCCCACACTGCTCACTTAAATAGGCCATCACAAAAGATGAGATTCAAGTGAAACTGCTTTTATGAAACAATTCGCTGTGACCAGAGAAAACCTTCCCAGGTGACACCACTCCGTGCACTAACTCAAAGAGAGATGCTTGATGCTTGCCTATCATGAAAAATGTAAACTATGAAAGCTCCACCCAGGGGTGCTTTTATTCTTGTTCATTCTTGTCACCAGCTACTAATATAGCACATTCGCTGATCCTAGCCACCAGAGTTGTGTCACAGCTCACAAATTAGATGAACACTATTTCAGGCCAGCTCCCCAGGCAGCACTTCTCAGATCCAGCCACCCAGAACTACATGAGCTCACATGTAGTGATGGATGCTTCAGAGTGTCATATAGGTAGATCCCAGTTCCCTCTAGTCTCACTGCCCTATGAGTTCATTAACTAAATGACTCAGAATTCACAAAGTATACCATACTTAGGGATTCAACTTGCTTACAACCAAAAAGGGATACAAATGAAGAGAGACCAAGGATGTTCTGGGGAGGGATCACAGGGCAGCGCTTCCATATCCCAAAGAGGAATGTGCTACCTTTTACGTATAGTGTCACCAACCAGGATGTTCCTGTGAAGTTCCTAATAGCTTCTCATTGTAATCATGATAGATTACATCAAGATTCCTGAGACTTTGATTTCAGCATTTAAAAAACTACATTACACTGATTTTTCATGTTTAACAATACTGTTGTGAAATGTATAAAATATGTGTTCCTTGCTATTTAATAATTAAAAGAACATTATATTTGTTTAATGAAGGGAAATATTTCTCTGCACAGATGTTAAAAGTCTCCTTTGTAAGACTGTATCTTTATAATTTTAAATATTCTATTATCTTCTTTAAAAAGTATGAAAAAATATCACATTTGTGTTTGGTATTTTACAATATTCTAGTCTTATACAACAGCTTACATTGGTCTTTTTATATAAATAGCTCATTTCAAAGGGTACTATCTTGGTGGGTGGGCTTGTTTTCTAAGTTACTGTCATTTAGAGTGCTTACCACACATATTTTTCTTTATATTTGCTCATCACCTACATTCTACCGTCATTCACCTTTCTTTTCCACCTCCTCCCTTTTTCCATCTCTTTTTCTGTGTTCCCTTTATGTAGACACACACTGTCTAATTTATATATGTATGTATATATACCGTTAAATGTATATAGTTAAATATATATAGCCATTAAATATTATCCTAAAACAAAGGTAGCCTGAGGATGATCACCATGAAACATCAACTTCTTCAGGAATTACTGTAATTACATTATCTATACAAAAGAAAGAAAAATTAGGTGATTTGACTTATGCATTTCATTTTAATACAAAAATGAGGGAGGAGCACAGAAAGCAAAAGCAGAGGGCACACTCTCCAGCATTAAAAGTGAACAGAAATATACATGATGAAAAGCTTATATATACATTTATAGATTAAAAATGAAGATTATAAAGAAGAAATTCTCAATGTATCATTTACCACAGTTCCCTATTATTGAAATATTTAATGATATATTTTAAATAAATAAATAATTGGGCATATTAATTGGATCTGTTCTGAAATAGAATTGTTTATTATTCTTTGGGAACAGTGGTTTTGGTATTCCTTACATGTTATTATGATAGGACCATAAATCTGGACATCACTGGAGACTCTGGCTTGTTACTTGAGAACCTTAGTCATCAAACTAACATATTTGCAATTAAAAACTTCAAAGGTCTTTTCAAAGCAAATAGGTCCAGTGCACTAGGTTGCTGCTGAATACTTGTGGAAAAAAATCACAAGACATATGTTTGCCTAATATAAGTAATCATTAAGCTAAATAAAATTTTATTTAACAATGTCACAAATAATTACAAATACAAAATGTTCCAACTGTACAAACTTTTATATACATATTCACACGTGTTTAATCTTTACTTCATCTTTCAACTTTTTATCTGTGTAAAAAGAAGAACACTGTCCTCATTCAGAAGATTTATGATGTTGTAATAGTTACCTAGAAGTAGAATGACAAGAAAATAAAGTTATTTCCTTAGAGATTATCATTTACTTTTGATTAAGCATTTGGCCATCACTATATGACAGTTACAATATATAACAAAATAAAAACATTTTATTTAACTCAAAATAACTCTTGAGTCCTTGTGGAACTGTTGAGTAAGGGTTGGACTGCTAACTGCAAGATCAGTGGTTCAAATCCAACAGTGGCCCCTTGGGAAAAATTGAAATCATCTGCTCCTATAAGGATTTACAACCACAGTGTCTCTATACAGAGTCATGAAGAGTCAGAATCAACTCAGTGGCAGTGTTATGATCCTGATAAGCCACAAAAGAATGTACATTTCCCATTATTCTGATAATGAATGCAGAAATAAGGTGAAACAGGCCCACAGGGGAGGAAGTATGTGTTTCTGAACACAATTTTTATTAGGTTTTTAGAACTGCTGTGAATTCCTCCAAATTCTTTCAGATATGTTGCTGTTTTGAGTTGCCATCAAGCCAATTCTGACTCATGGCAACTCCTTGTGTGCAGAGCAAAACTGTTCTATAGGGTTGTCAAAAGCAAAGCATCTGGCCTGTCTTCTATGGTGGCTCTAGGTAGGCTTTGAGCAACCAACATTGTGGTTAATATTAAAAGCTCCTAAACTGTTTGTACCTTCAAATACTGGTAGGTATAAATATTAAGATATTAGTGAAAGTAAAACTGCAAACAAAAACAGGCAAATGTAGCTTTTAGATAATAAATAATAACCAAAACATCCCCTAAGCAGACTTATTAGCAGTAAGTACCATAGTGTAATATTTTTATATTGGAAATTAAAACATATTGATTGGCTGAGTTAACACATCTAAAGCATTCAAAACAGTACTGCCATATACTAAGGACAATGTACATAAATTATAGTCTTCTTTGTTAGAATGTTCAGCTTCACAAGAGCAAGAATTAGTATGTATTCTGTTCATATATGTATCCAAAACTCTTAGAGAAATACCTGGCCTCAACAGACAATCATATTTGTTGAATGAATAAATAAACCCAAATTCTAATTTCCAAAAACGTGTACTCTTCCATAGTTGAAGCACACTGTTATGCATGCTTAAACTGTTTGACTATATGAGGGAACTTCAAAAAGTTTAAGGGAAAATTCCATGATCTTTTCATTCCATTCCTCAATTAAATTTTAAAAGTTCCTTCACATAATGTCTTAGAGATAACATGGGGGAACTATTTTCTTCCTATTTTAGGATAAGACATATCTTCTACTTACTTTCATAAATAGCAATAAATAACTCACTCAATTTTCATGTCACAAAATATTAACATATTTACCTAATGATAAAAATGAAGATGAGGGGGGAGCGGGGAGGGAGGGGAAAAATGAGGACCTAATGTCGGGGGCTTAAATGGAGAGAAAATGTTTTGAGAAACGATGTACAAATGTGCTTTACACAATTGATGTGTGTATGGATTGGGATAACAGTTGTATGATCCCCTAATAAAATGTTAAAAAAAAAAAAAAAACCAGGAAGAAAAAAAAAATGAAGATGAATATATACCAAATTGCTTTGGCACAATTCACAGCACACTTCATTTTGACCATGATAGCCTAATTTTCATGACACTCATATGCAACTACCTTAGAATTACATGAGGGGGCTTCAAAAAATTTGTGGAAAAAATAAATGAAAAGATAATGGAATTTTTGCACAATTTTGTTCAGTTTTTTGTACAGTTCAAGCATCCTTGAACTGTAACTGTGTGAAGTAAAATGCTTTTAATTATTCTTACCTGAAGGAACATAGAATGAATCTCCAGTACTCATTAGATAAGGTGTTTCATGTAAGGTACACAAAAGGTCACCAGAGTAAACAAAGAAAACCTGAAAAATAAGATATAAAAATCTCATTTCAAATGAAACCACTCCCACATCAACTACATTCTAAAAGACCTTAAAAGAAGTATGGTAAGCAGAAAATAAGGACCGCAACTCCAATCCACACTATTTATGTTACACTGTATAGCCAAAGGAACTCTGAAATAGTGCAATTACCCTGGGATATTCATGCAGGTCAGATCTAATCACGAGTTCTTAGAAGAAGACAACTGTTTCCTCCTACTGGAAAGCAGAGAAATACAGCAGAAAATGTAAGAATGTGAATGTGGTGGTTACATAATCTGATGTCAATTTAAGACTTAACAGTGAAGGGGTGGAGTTTAGCCTGTCGATCAGATTGTAGCTTGATGACCTCAGTTGGAGGCACTGAGATACATAGCTCACTGGAGGCGGCACACCTGCTCACTCCCTGTAAGACATTCCTGCGGCCAAGACACATGTTGCTACGCTAGAGCCTTGGAGCTGAAGGAACCACTTGGAAACCCACACCAGCGCTGACATGCTTATACCACCACTGGATCCACAAGACTTTCCACACATTGGCCTGTGATCTTTCTTTCTGCATTCAGCATCATTGCATGTGTTGCGTGTGTCTGAAGAAGAATTTATAGACTGGTAATGGACATATGGGCTAATAGTGGACTTAGGGACATGATCTGGACTGGGTGGGGATGCTTTCCCAATATTCAATTGCTCTTGTATCTAAAGCTCTTTCTTATATCCATGAGTGTCTATGAATTTCTTTCTCTAGTCTATTCTAACTCAGTGAATAACTCATGCAGTTGTTGGCACTGAAAATGAATTGAAATGGGTCAGAAGCCACACATGATAGACTATTTCTAGAAGCTGAGGAGAGAGAGGGCAGTGTGGAGGAAAATCTGGTCAACAGCCTGCCAGAAAACAGGGACTCAGTCCTAACAACAACTTGGAAGGGAATTTGGCCAACAACCTGAGTGAACTTAAAAGCAGATTCAGCCCCAAAGCCTTCAGGCAAGAATACAGTCCTGTTGATACCATGATTTGAGCCTTGTTGAGATTCTAAACAGAAATCTACCTTCCAGCAATCTACCCAATTACTATGAGATAGTAATTGGGTGTTGTTTTAAGTCACTAGATTTATAGCAATTTGTTAAGGCAATAAATAGAAAATACGGGCAGAAATCTTTATTATTTATGGCTTATTGGCTTATGAAAATTCATATGCATATCTGTAAAAATATTTTTACACGTTTCTGCTTATAATACATGTTTTAAAATGGCTACTTTTGATGTACTTATTTAATTATATAGCACTATAATGTGTACTATACTAAGCATTTTTAATATTTTTATCTATCAATTTAGATATAAAAATGCTTAGTATAGTACATATAAAGTGCTAAATAACTGCTTATAATAGTTTGTCCTATCATTAAGTCACTAGAATATAACTGCTTACCCTATCACTAAGCCAAAACATTAATATTAACTATTTTTCTTCCAACAGTACATTTCATTATTTCTCATTGTTACAACTATGGTCAATGTGACAGTAAACAACAATATATTCAGTCCTTCCCCCTCGTAACTATTTCCCTAGGAGAATTTCTATAAATGAGGATCATAGGTCAGAAGGCATGAATAATTTTCTAATAATTTCTACTAACTCAGTTAAGTATAACTTGCCTTTAATGTGGCCTCATTTGTTGCTGTTTTTTATAAATCATTTTATCGGGGGCTCTTCGGGCCCATATAACAATCCATACATCAATTGTATCAAGCACATTTGCACAAATGTTGCCATCATTTGCAAAACATTTTCTTTATACTTGAGCTCCCCTACGCTTGTGACCCCTTGATATATTATAAGTTATTATTATTTTCATGTCTCACACCGTAATATGTACTCATTTGAAGATTAAAGTCTTCCAAAACTATACTATTTAAATTCATTTGTATACTAAAAGAATTAGTTTACTGGGTACTACACTCAATAATGACATTTCTTTCAATAAGGTGTATCTCTCTTTACTTTTAATTGTACTTTTGCTATCCACTAAATAACTTATTGAAATGTGTTGTTTTTAATCTTTAATCCCGGAAGATGTTACGATCTGTGCTGTTAGATGCAGGTGACTCATGCTAACTCACAGCAGTCCCGTGCACAACAAAATCCCGCACCGATCCTCCCAATCACTTATTTGTAGAAGTCCACTATTACATAGTGTCGATTCATTTTGTTGAGGGTCTTCTTGTTTCTACTGACCCATTCCTTTACCAAGCAGTAAGCCTTTCTACTCAGGCTGCTTTCTCATGCTCATTTGTCAAATTATGTGAATGAAGTGTAGTCATCCTCACTTCTAATGAGGCTTCTGGCTGCACTTCTTTAATGAAGATTTGCCCATTCTTCTGAAAGTCCACGACATGATTTTTGAACATATAGGAGGCAATCGAAAATGCCATGGCTTCTTAGTTCTCAAAGTGACATCTTCACTTTTAAGCTATTCAGTATTTCTTTGCTCTGTTAGAACAACTGCTGCTTGTCTTATATACAAATTCCAAATGAGCACAATTAATTGTTCCAAAATTTTAATTTTTTGCAATGTTATCCATAATGAGTTTGTGTTGTCTTAATTGATATTGCCTTTTTTACCTCTCTGGGTTCTAAGATCCATTGCCAATGACTACACAGAAGTCACACACAAAATTCATGATTAACAGGTTTATTAAGGAAGACAGTAAGTTGTAATGCCTAGGGAGAGAGGCTCAGGATTATCAGAACATGTTACAAAGTTCATTCAGGTATGCTAATAAATGCACACAGGGGCATATTACTGCATTGTAAGCTTCAACCCAAAAGCATTCAGCTAAAGTTCCATGGGTCAGCAAACCGAGTCTGAATTAAGTGTCCAGAGGTACCCTACTCCAGTAAACCTCAGCCCAAGGTACTCTTTTAAATGATAACTGAAATTCCAAAAGTGCGTACAGGAAATTGACACTTGAGCGTATGTTTGTGACTCATCTTGAATCTCATTATATCTGACCATAATATTGTATAAAAGTATATTGTTCAGTATTTGCTGAAGGAACTACCTCCTTTGCTGAATCTGTTGCTAACGACTTGACTTTTGAAGAAGCCTCTTGAACACTCTATTTCTCAATTACAAGATCTGAGAATTGAGGAATTAGGCTTACTCGGTATAATCCTTCTCAACTCTAACCTAATGATTTATTTGCAGACCTGTACTCTCAGACTCTTTTAAGTAAAGACCATTGATTGCTCAAGCTTCTGACTCTCAAAGCAAAGAATGGGTACTTTCAAATACTTATTGATGAGTTGTCTAAACAGATTTAACATGTTTGGACCCTAAAGTTAAAAAAAGTGGTGTACCTATAGTAGTTAAAAATAGAGAGAGAAAGATAACACTCACCAATGTGTCTAGACCAACAAACTGCATTCCCTTTTCTTGACATGGTCCTAATACCAATTTTCCAGTAGAAAAATAAGGTGTATCCAATGTTTTATATACTTTCAACTCTTCATGGTCAACAAAAAATTGACATGTATCTCGTGGTCTTATAAGATCTATGAAGGAAATAATAACATAAATATAAAGCAGTAGCAATAGTACTTAATTATCCAGCAATATAAACACGCACATGAGGGATCCAAAAGGTTTGTGGAGAAAACCCTAATGCCGCTTTTCATCAACTTTATGAAGCCCCCTTATATGTTCAGTAGGTTACTTCTAAGTATAAACCTGTCTTAGAAAGAAATAATAAATGATTAAGCTAATGGCTATGAAACTACAATGCTGGAGGATTAAAGCCTGCCTGTCTTATTAGTTGTATGATCTTAGTTAAGTGTGGTATTTACATAATCTGGTGTCAATTTGAGGATTCAGAGTGAAGGGGTGGAGGCTAGCCTGTCAAACAGGTAGAAGCTTGATGACCTCATTTGTAGGCACTAAGGAGATAAATAGCTTGCTGGAGGTGGGATACTTGCTCACTCCCTGAGAGACATCCCTGTGGAGGAGAAACATGGAGAGAGGTTGATGGAGCCAGAGAAGCTACGTGGAGACCCCTGGAAGCACTGAGATGCTTACAACGCCTCTGGATAGACAAGACTTCCCACCCACTGGCCTGTGCTCTTCCTGCATTCGGCGCCATTGCATGTGTTTTGTGAGTGAAGAGGACTTTATAGACTGTTATCAGACATATGGGCTAATATCGGACTTATGGACTTGATCTGGACTGGGCTGGAGGATTGTAAAGCAGTAGCAATAGTACTTAATGATCCAGCAATATAAACACGCACATGAGGGATCCAAAAGGTTTGTGGGGATGTTTCCTCAATATTCAATTGCTCTTGTATATAAAGCTCTTTCTTATACACATGAGTGTCTATGAATTTGTTTCTCTAGTCCACCCAGACTAACACAGTAAGCAACTTAACTTCTTTATGAGTTTCTCTACTTTTTTCTGTAAACTGGCATAACAGTTCATTGATGTTAAAGAGTTGCTGTGGATATCAAGCAAGTTAATAATTATAATATATATGTCTTCACTATTAAAAACCACAAGATTTTATTACTACTGTAGTTTAAAAATAATAATAGATACTAGAAAAAAATACCCTGCAGCATAGACCTCAATACAAATGTGTCATCATTATGACAATAAGTAGTTTGAGCTAACTTGATTAATAACAAGTTTGTCGGGTAAAGTCTATGAAAAACTAGAGTTCCAACTGTTTTTCACATATTAAAATCTTACTTTGGAATGTCCTTTTTCCTTTCAAACCTTTCCTGTAATATACGAATTGTTTCTATCCGCATAGCTTCTGACTGCTGCCCTCAATGTATAGGAATGTTGTCCAGGAGTAAAGGATATAGAAAAGCATAGACTCACGAGGCAAATGTGACAAACTCCATAGCAAGTTTTAGATATGACACCAAATAAGGCACTCTGTAATTCTACCTATGTTGCCAAATATTTGAATATGAAAATAGCTTTGGTATTTAAAATGGCACAGGCAAGGGTAAAGTGAGAATTCCTTTACAGCCTCTCTGGACATACATGGAAAAATGGAACACAAAAAAATTAATGTAACTTTTCCATGAAAATTTTGAACTTCAAGAACTTCCTTGTCCTCTTAGGATAAAAATTACTTAATAAACACTAGTATAATAATAATAATCAAAAGATTTAAATAAATTGTGTATGTAATATTACTTGTTGGTAGATAGCTAAATGCTTCCTACTAGCCCCTATCAACTACAGACCCTCTGTCGGGACCTCCCATGGCCTTCTCCACTGTCCAGGGTGTAAATTATGAATGCCTATCGAATACAAAAAGAGGCTTAGTTCTAAGACCTTGCAGCAACTTTAACGTTTCATATCCAAGTATCACAACTGATATCCCAAAGCCTGGAAAGTTGTCTATATGTTGCCCTTAGTTACTGGCTGCCCCTAACGGTATTATAACATGTGGGAAACTAACACTATGGGAAATATGACTAGGACTTATTCCCTAACTTATCACAGATGGAATCTGGAAAGCTAGTATTCCATAGTAGGAAAGCCACCCCTTTGGTAAGTTAGAGATAAAGTCCAAGTAATTATCCTGCTTTAAATACCATTCCCAGATTTTCCCTCAACAGCTAAGCTGCCTTAAAGTGAGCACACGGTTGATTCTATTTCCTCTAAGGAAGCAGACATTTTTCCTTATCTCCTTCCACTGTGGCATCCATCCCCCCTCATACCCTCCCCCAATGCAGGTAATAGGTTTCCTCACCTGTGAGCTCAGGAACTTTTCTGCGGTTACCACCCACCTTTTGAGGTATGTAACTACTGAATATGCATGTCTTATGGCTACCTACAAATATCCCAAGAGAGTAAAGATTCTCTCTCTCCGCAGACCTGGCTGCTAAGATCATGGCCGTCCCAGAGGTGAGCATGCTACCATGAAATGTGTCTGATGCCTTTATTTTTATCTTTTCTCCCACCCATCCCTCCTATTCTCTATGACTGTATTATAATCTCTTTATATTATCACCATACAGTTGCGCCTATGAACCCCATGGTTGATAGAGGCTGGTTTACTCTAACAGGAACTGTCAACTAACTTGGTGCAATTCCCATAAACAGCTTTTGTTCCTGTAATTTCTCTTAGTCACAGAAAACTGAACCATGCTGAGGAAGACAATTTGTACCCCAGAGGGAAAATACATGGTATCATATGGCCCGTCAAGGTTGTCTGCCATCAATGCTTCCCCAGAGACTGCTGAAATCAGACTCTCTGTTGGGCATTAGCTCTGAAGCAGCCAGTTAGAGAAAGAGGAAAGTAGATAGGCAGGTCAACAATTATTCTTATTCAACACAAACCAAACTTACAGCCGTTGAGTCAATTTTGACTCACAGCAACACTATAAGACACAGAACATCTCTTTAGGGTTCCCAGAGCAATAAATATGTATGGGAGTGAACAGCCTTATCTCTCTTCTGTGGAGTGGCTGATGGGTTTAAACCAACTTCGGGGTTAGCAGCCCAATGCTTACTCCTTTAATCACCAGGAGTCCTTTATTCTTACAACTTGTTAATAAATATTTTCTCTTATCACATCGGATCTTACCCATGAGAATACTCGCATCTGTTTCTGGGTCCTTTACCCTTGTTGGCTGAAAAGGATCTCCTAGAGGTACATTTAGATTTGCCACTAAATTATTTTCTGCAAAAGAAATAACAGTGAAACATAAACTAATAACTTAAGATTCTGTTCAGTTAAAGAAAAAAAAGTCCAGGATAAATTACAGCTATAGACAAGTATAGAAGAAAATTGCCAGAGAAGTAACAGACAAATTCTAATTTAAATACATCGATTTAAACTAAAAGCAAAGGCCTTAAATTTCATACTTATAATATGCTGATTATGACAATTCTTAAATTCTTATATGATCAAAGAGTTAAATATTTTGCATAATCTTTAAGAAAGCTGGGAATATACAATACGCATTAGAAAGAATACATTAAAATGTCTATTTTAACTATAGTTTAAACCTGTAAAAGAAAGCACCATTAATGTGAGCAAATTATTCATAAGGATATGGTTTGTATTATGCTAGTTTCTAAACGTGAGGGGAAAACAGACATTAAAAAGCAAATTTTACCTAAAGTATTATGTCTGACGTTTTTTAAGGGTAAATATCAAAAGACGCATAGCGCTTCTTCTTAAAGCACTATGTTATTAAAATAAAGCCTAAAAGTTACTGTCAGGAATAAGTTCATACTTCTTTCATCGTTAGCAAGGCATATCCTTTTCGTGTTAATTATTTCCTTGAATTGTCCTCTGTCTCCATTTGCCTTCTTCCCTTTATGTGGCATTGTGTCTGGGGATAGTATTCCACCAACTACAAATCCTCCTGAAGTTTTAAAACAGTTACAAGTTAAAACAGCATACCCTCTTATAGTGAAACGCTTGAAACTGTACTACTATTACTACATTCTAATAATTGAAATAACAATCAATATGACTTATGTCTCTACTACTCTTAATCTAAAGGCACTGATAAAATCTGTTGCTTGCCTGATATCGTCATCAGGGAGGCTTAAAGGGGGTAAGAGGAGCAGCCAGGCATAAACTATAGTAATTCGCACTTGAGCTTTGTCCTCTGATTTAGCTATATTCAACAAAGAAAGGAAATAACTTTATGTTAACACTATACTGCTCAGTATTCACCTTTTTTTATTAAAAATATGGTGAGATAACTGGATGGAAAACCTAAAAAGAAATAGTTTGCCAGTTATAATTTTCTTTATCTTCTGATCTAATGCTTCTTTGTATGCAATTACAAGCAGGCCTAATAATACAGAAATAACACTCCATAAAGTCATATTGTCTTAAAAAGCTATCAAAGGTAGGTGGAAAAAACTTACTATCTTTTCTTTTTTTCCCAGTTTGTTAGATTTTTTAAAAAATCATTTTATTGGGGGCTTGTAAAATTCTTATCACAATCCATACATACATCCATTGTGTCAAACACCTTTGTACATTTGTTGCCATCATCATTCTCAAAACATTTGCTTTCTACTTGAGCCCTTAATATCAGCTCCTCATTTTTCCCTCCGCCAAAACTTACTATCTTAACAGGAATCAGACAAGATTTGAATCCTATTCTTGTCACATTGTGGGCAGAGTGGGTAATTAAATGAGATAAATGTATATATATTTTTACAGGACAATGTAAACAAAACCTGCAACAATTATTATTTTATTATTGAGAAACATTAAAGAATCAATTCTAATTCTACCTGATAGCCTTGCTTGATAATCTATTCTCTCCCCTCGCCAGTATTCTAGAGGTCTCATTCGTATTCGTTTGGTTCTGCGAACATTTGGTGAGCTGGAGGGCAATACTATAAAAAGATGTTAGAGAAAAACCACCACAAATAAATGTTCAGTTGGATGATACTTTGCAATAGATATTACCTTTTAGAATATAAATGCTTTGAAACAAATGACTGGAAAAACCAAACTTTCAATATCGATTTATACTAATCATTAAGAGAATTCAATAAGATACAGGTACAGATTGCCAAATAATTAAAAACTTGATAATATCCAGTTGTTACTGTCATTAAGTGCTGTTGAGTTGGTTCCACCTCAGTTACCTTATGAAAAACAGAATAAAACATTACCAGTGTTATCCTCACGTTGTTATGTTTGAGCCCACTGTTGTAGCCACTATGTCAACCATCTCATTGGAAGTGTTCCTCTTTTTCATTGACCCTAGACTTTACCAAGCACGGTGTCTTTTTCCATGAACTGGTCTCTACTCTCTCCAAAGTGCATGAGGTGAAATTTTACTATTCTGTCTGCACTTCTTTTAAGACAGATTATGCCAAGAGTTGGAAATATTAAAGGTACATAGGAACCCTCACATATTAGTAGAAACACAATGACAGAAAACAACATAGCAACATCTACTAATCACTTTAGCCTTTAACCCAGCAATTTCACTTCTAGGAAATGCGTTTACAAAATATAAAAATGGGTATAATTTAATACTACAAGCTTATATATATTTCATGTTTATAACAACAACAAACAACACATTGAAAATAATCCAAGTGTTCTTTGTTAGGAAAATTAGTAAAGTGAGGTATGTGTATACATGTATATATACACATATACACATTCAATTTATCTAAACAATGTAAACTCTATTTTTTGTGTGTGTTATAGCCAATTGGAGTGGTTTATTAAAATCTCCCATTCTATTATTTAAATGAAAATATATGTTTCCTTTTTTTTCATTATATATTTTAATTGCTTGGTTATTTAATGCAAAAAACCCCACAAAACCCTCCAACTGCAGACCCAAACCTATCTTTAAACCAAAGAAGTTGTCATCTGCTACTTCTTAACCCGTCTTCTCTTCTTCATGTTTCCTCTTCTAAAAATGCACAAATGATTTGAATATTTTGCCTGCTGTTTCTATATTATTTGCACTAAGGTCCATCCTTTATGGTTTCAACCTTTTTGTATCTTTGCTCTTTTCTTCCATGTGAAGAACACAAGTTACGAATTCAGATCTCAACAATGACTACTCTTTCTTTCTGTTCATCTCCTGACTTCTTAAACTGAAGATGACTTTTTAATGCCAGACAGTCTTTATACCATAATTGAATTTCTGAAAGTGTTCACATTTCCTTTATTTTAAAATGTTTCATCTATCACCTACGAGAGTTCCAGTTAAGCAGAATTTGCTGAGCACTAATATCATAATGCTGGATTTTCTTCTTTCTAGATGCTGCAGCCACTGTTAACAAACATTCTTTTCCTTTAGTCTACTTCTGGTTCTCGCCATCATTTTACTCTAAGACAGGTATTAAATACTGAGAGATACAGCAGCCTGTTAATACTAATTGGAAGATATGAGTTTTCATTGTACCAATGAGAAAAATGTATCACGGCTATTTAATAACCAGTGTATGCATACTCCAAGCCCTAAGTATAAGGTGGAACACAGACGGAAACTCCACACAGGTATGAATTCCCACAATCTTGATTTTCAAATATTTCACCCTCAGTGGGAACCATGGGAGCTCTATCTGACCTTCATATTAGAAACTAGCTCATAATTGTCTTCTTGCCTGGCTTAGCTACAGCTTGTTAACGTCTTAAAATCGGGAAAAAGTTGAGAAGAAAACCTGTTAGGAGTGCCATCTCCCTAGCAGATAACACTTACTTTGACAAAATCCTCCACCCTAGCTATCTAGTCTCGTTGATCCTTCATTTGGGGCAAACAGTTGAAGAGTGCAAGATTTGTAGACAACAGAGCAAATTAATAGCTGTGAAGATTTCCTATGGAACTCATAATATCTCTGCCACTTAAACCAGGTTTTTCCGGCATTTTAGAAACAAAGGTAAAGTAATAGAAAATTCCTCAATATAATACTTGAAAAGAAAAAAAAATCTTACTTAATTTGTGATGTATTTTGTTCTCTGATCTCTCTTTTGATTTTTTAATTTTGGAGTGACCTGCAAAAAGATAATATCACAAGAGAAATGGCTACTAATTTAGTACTCTATGTTAAATGCTCAATTTAAATGTAAAATTTGAACTGATAAAACACTCTATTAGTTCTTGTACTGTTCAGAGGAACCCGGGTGGCATAGTGCTTACCTGTTGAGCTGCTAACCAAAAAGTCAGCAGTTCAAAATCACCACTGCACCATGGGAAAAAGGTGAGGCTTTATACTTTCATAAAGAGTTACAGTCTTGGAAACCCACAGGGGTAGTTCTATCCTGGACTACAGATTTGCCTTGAGTTGAAATCACCTCAGAATTGATTTTAGGGTTTTTCCATACTATTCAGTAGGATACAATGAAACTAAACAAAGACAGCATAATATTTTCCCAGAGGTTGACAGAGAATAAATATATCTAATAGTTAAATAACACTTGAAACAACAGCTAATTTTTTAAGCAAGTTATTCATGGTCAGATAAGATTCACTGGATGAATCAAAATTCAAGATATAAAAATAAATGGTTAATAGACTAATATAAGTTATATATTATACATATGTAATAATATATTGCTATATTAGAATATATAATTATAGATTGCATAATCTACAATAATATAATGTTTTATTTCCACAGTCTGTTAGTTTGTTGTAATGTGGCGCCTAATGTGTTGCTGTGATGCTGGAAGCAATGTCATTGGGATTTCAAATCTCAGCAGGATCACCCAAAGTGAACAAGTTTCAGCAACTTCCAGACTACAAAAAAGGATGGACTGGATGTGAGGGCGATCTGGCTGCAACATGTCACCTCATTGATCGCCAGGGTTGATTCGGCTGATCTGCCTGGCTAGGCGGGTGTCCCCTTCCTCCCTCACTGCTCCATGTGCATCCTTCCCTAAGCGGTGTGCTCGGTTGAAGAGGATGACCTTCCCTGATAGAAGGAGGACCGTCCTTCAGTCAGGGGTATATGAGAAGCTGCGTTCCCCTGCTAGAACCTCCAAACAAGTCTCAAAAAAGGATGAACTGTCATTTCTCTGAGGAATTAACCACTGAAAAATTATGAATGGCAGCAGAACACTGTCAGATCCTGAAATCCTCATGAAAAGAAGCAGAGTATTGTCAGAAATAGTGCCATATAATAAGCTCCCAGGTCAGAAGGCAAGTAAAAGATGACTGAGGAAGAGCTTTCTTCTCAAGGTAGAACTGATCATAGATGGAATAATGCCTTTAGGAGTTAAAGTCTCGGGGAACTTCTGTGGGGCACAACTCAAAATGAGAAGAAACAGCTACAAGCATCAATTAATAATTAGAACTTAGAATGTACAATATATGAAGCTGAGAAATTGGAAGTCATAAAAATTGAAATGAAAGGCATACTAAGCTTTAGTACACTGAAAGGACTGGTATTAGCCATTTTAAAGCAGGCATTCAGACAGCTTACTATGCCGGGAATGACAGGATTAAGAGGAACGGCATCAAATCATTGCCAAAAAAAGGGCATTTCAAGGTCTAGAAGTAGAATGCTATCTATGATAGGATTATATCTATCTGAATCCAAAGAAATCCAGTCAATACAACTATTAGTAAAAATTACACACCAACCACTAAAGCAGAAATTCTACCATACTCTGAAATTGATCAAACATGCCATCAAGATGCATTGATAATTATTGGTAACTGGAAGGCAAAAGTTGGGAAAAAAAGAGGAAGGAATACTAGTTGGACATTATGGTCTTGGAGCTAGAGATAATATGATACAATTTTACAAGACCAGTAACTTCTTCCCTGAAGAAGACATCGTGCTTGGTGAAATAAGAGTGGCAACCAAAGAGGAAGGCCCTGGTGGTAGTTACATAATGTTGGCACTTTGAGACGTAAGAGTGAAGGGGTGAAGTTTAGCCTGTGAATCAGGTTGCAGCTTGATAACTTCATTTGGAGGCACTAAGGAGATAACTAGCTCACTGGAGGCTGGACACATGTTCACTCCCTGCAAGAAATTATTGTGACAAGCTGTATGGAGACAGGCTGATGGCAGCCAGAGCTTCGGAGCAGGAAGAGCCATATGGAGACCCACACCAGTGCTGAGATGCTTCTTCTACCACCACTGTTTCCACAAGACTTCCCACCCATTCGGCTACGATCTTCCTGCATTCAGTGTCGCTGCATGGCTATGTGAGTCAAAAGTGGAATTAATGGACTAGTATCGACATAATGGGATAATATCGGACTTATGGATTTGCTCTGGACTGGGCTGTTTTCTCAATATACAATTACTCTTTTATATAAAGCTCTTTTCTATACACATAAGAGTGTCTATGAATTTGTTTCTCTAGTCTATCCAGACTAATACAGCCCTCAATGAGATGGATTGACACAATGGCTGCAACAATGGGCTTAAACACAGGAACAATTGTGAGGATGGCATAGGCCTGGGTAGTGTTTCATTCTGTTGAGCATAGGGTCGCTAAGGGAGGAACCATTATGATAACACCTAATAACAATGACTTCTTTGTAGCAAATACTGTTTTTCAACAATTAGTGACTATAAACATGGACTTCTCCAGATGGAATATGCAGAAACCAAATTGAATACATCTATTGAAGAGACGATGGAGAAGCTCAATACCATCAGCTAAAACCAGGCCAGGGGCCAACTGTGGAACAGACCACCAATTCCTCATCTGTAAGTTCAGGTTGGAACTGAAGAATATTAAAATAAGTCGATAAGAACTGAGGATCTGTGGGATGACATCAAGAATATCATTCATGAAGACAGCAAAAGTCATTAAAAAGACAGGAAAGAAAAGATCTGGGTGGATGTCAGAAGAGACTGAAAACTCATTCTTAATCATAGAATAAGAGAATCAAAGAATAATTTGCTAAGGCAAATGGAAGAAATGATGAAGTCAAAGAGCTGAACAGAAATTGTCAAAGGCCAGCTTGAGAAAACAAAGTGAATTATTAAAATGAAATGTATAAACAATGGAAGAGAACATTGCCAAGTCCTGTGCCATTCAGAAGATCAGGTACAAGAACACCCATTAACCCCCTATGACCTCTATTTTTCTACTCTTAACATCTAACAAATGATTGATGTGGATGTGTTTTGGTCTCTGACTCTGGGAAAAGAAAATCCCACAAGGAGGTTCATTAACAGTTGCCTAAGGCAGAGGCCAATAGATCATATGGCTGAAAGAACAATGGCCAGACATACCTGCCAACATGCTAAAAAGAGGTGCAGAGGACAAAAGAACTGTATCCTTAACAATTTGTAACCTATGAGAGCTTCCCTAATACACCCCGCAATTGTGAGAACTGCCTATGAATTAAGTAGAGTGCAATGGGAAGAAGGGTTAGTGTCAGAATAGGGTCAAGAAGACTGAAGGATGGAGCATGTCAGATATCTGCCTACTGGGAGCATCCTTGGACAGATGCAGAGTTGAATTCTCCTTTTCTCTTCTGCAGGTGGAGAAGGTCATTATTTGCCCTTGGTTCAGTAATCATCAACATATCATCAATCTTGTTTCATCTACACCCTTACCAGCTTAAAAATTCAGAATACTGGTGTAGATTTCCATGTGCCACTATTTCAATATGCCCTACTTAAAAGAAAGGACTACTACTTTTCTCTTCTATTCCGTCCCCTCCCATATGGTGCATGCTCCACTCCCTCTGTCTTGTGCATTCACCGCCTATGGTCACCTGGTTCCACTGAATCAGTCCAGACTCAGAGTGATCCTCTGTACGACAAAACAAAATCCATGCACCTAGGCACCAAATAGAAAGAAACCAAACTCACTGACATCAAGTAATTTCTGATTCAGTGACCCCATGATGTTACAGTATAAAACTTCCTGTGAGATTTTCTTGAATGTCATCCTTATGGGAGCAGATTGCCAGGTCTGATTTTTGAGGTGCATGTCAGGTGAGTTTGAACCATCAATCTTAGGTTAGTAGCCCATTCCAAAACACTTGCACCACGCAAGGCAGGTAGTCTTACAAATCTGTATGGTAGAATTCTGAAGCACAATTACTCAATATATATTTGTTATTGGTTACAGTTTAAATAAAATAATACATCTTACTCCATGTATGTAATGTGATAAATATGCAGACAGTAGAAAATAAACAATAACTTACCAGCTCTTTTTTTAGCTTCCTTTCTGCCCTTATCAGAATTACTCTTTCCAGACATTATATATTTTCGGGTCCTGGAAGGGCCACTTAAGAAAAAAGGAAAAAACCTCAACCTGTGTGTTTTTATAATGCATCCATACATATATATATATAAATGTGTATATGGCTATTTTCTCCTAAAATTGCTATTTATTTTTTATAAAACCAATAGTGATGTTATGTCAACAAGGATATAATGCTTGTTGCATTAAAAAAAAGAATACAATTTACAATTGACTGACAAATATGACAATTACTGGGTCTTATAACCTTTTAAAACTAACTCATGGATCAAGGCCATATATTAAGTCAACTCAGATAATAACAGGGGATTCTGGGAAGGTGTCAGAATAAACAGATCACTGTTCAGACCCTTTTCCACAAATACACCAAGAAATTTAAGAAAAAGGAGATATTTGGCTTTGAGAGGCTCTGAATCAGGGTACAGAAGACCTACAGATGGATAATAAACACTGAGTCAATGATGAGTCACAAGGGATATGAAAATGGCTTCTTCCAACATTCCATCTTTTCCCCAAGCCAGGTAAGATAGTGCTTACTATAAATTGGAGAAATTACCCCAGCAAAAAAGGCTAGTATCCCAGCCACCAAGCTCCTTGCTTGTGGGAAGAATCAAGAAACCAAGTTTCTGCTCTACAATTGACATGGCATGCCTCAAATTCCTATAAGAGACCTAAGTAAAAAAAAAATCTCCTCTATGTGCAGTTCTCCTCTGCACACATGGTATCAGCAGGAGTTGGAATTTACTGTAGGGCAACTAGCAACAAGAATACACAACACATGGAGACAGACCAGAGTAAACAGTGGTTGCTAGGGGCGAGAGGGACAGAGAAACAGGGGTCATAATCTAGGTAGCGCTGAGATTTTGTTGATGGAGATAGCAAATCTGATGACAGCTCCACAATGATCAAATTAGTGAACAGTACATGTGAAAAACAAAGTGTGTTACACATTTTATTTTACAATGAAAAGTACAAATAACAAAGTATAATTAAAATTAGGAAAAGTTTAATTTTAAAGGATGTTGTACCATTCTTTAAGTCTGAGAATATCCTATAACTTACTATCAATGGATTTTTTTTAAAGAGTACATATAAAAACTCCAAAACAAAATTCACTGTAATTGAAGTCATTCTGACTCATAGCAAACCTCTAAAACAGAATAGAACTGCCTCTGTGGGTTTTTGAATCTGTAACTCTTTACAGAAGCAGAAAATCACATCTGTCTCCCACGAAGGAACTGGTGGATTTAAACTAACCTTGTGGTTAGCACCCCAATGAGTAACTCACTATACTACCAGGACATATGGCTTTATTTAGGGCCTATTTTAGTACACTAGAGAAGTATACTAGTTTAAAAGTATATACAACTAAATATGAGTTTCATACTCTTTCCTTGAAAAGGTGAAACCTAGTTTCCCTCCCTTTAAGTATAATCATGATCATTGTATAAAGTGGAAGTGATAATGAGAAACTTCAGATACTAGTCATTTTAAAACTACTGTGGTTTCCATTATAGCCATATTCTCTTGATTCATATGCTCTGTGGGAAGCAAGGTACCATACTGAGCAGTCATGTCATACAGAGGCCCACTAAGTAAAGAACTGAGGTATCCTGACAATAACCAGCACGGAACTCTAACTCCTACGCAGCTACCAGAGTCATCTTAAAAGAGGATCCTCCGGGTAAGCCTTCAGAGGCCCCTAAGTCAGAGGAACATCTTAAGTACACCTCATGAAAGTCCTCAAGCCCTAACTAGTCAGCTATGCCTCTCCCAGATTTCTAACCCACAGAAACTAATAGGGAGGGCAGAAAAGGCAAGCTACTAGCGATATTAAAACGAAGTAATGAAGTAATTTGTTACGTAGCAATTAATTTAGTGAATAACACCTGTTATCCTTAGACAAAATACATACCTTCTTTCTAAAATGGAAGTCTTAAGCTTTTCAAAATATGTTCCCGTCTTCCATGTATATTCACTAGTTTGACACTTGAGATGAATATTTGAACTGTCATGACCCTGTGAACTTTCTAAAGCCCTATGAAAATAAAAATAATAATTGTTTATACTCACACAAAAGACATTTCTTCCAGAAATAAACAGATGGATAGATAATATACCTACCATTTGTCAGGGAGTGTGTCCTACTATAGTGGCGTGTGTGCTGCTGTGATACAAGAACCTATGCCACCTGTATCAACAGTAGGGTGTAATATAACATAGTAGGCAGCTTTCAATGGAGTTGCCACACGAAGGTAAACCAGGAAAAGAGCCTAATGATCAGCTTCCAAAATTTGAACAATAAAAATCTTACTGATAACAACAGAATATTGTCTAATATAGTGCTGAAAGATAATCCCTCAGGTTTGAAGTAGGGAAGAACTGTCTCCTCAAAACAGAAAACAAAAAACCCACAGAATCAATCAAGTTGATTCTGACTCATAGCAATCCTACAGGAAGTTTTCAAGACTGTGGATCTGTAATGGCAATAGCTAGTTTCTTCATTTATCTTGAAGAGTAATTAATGGGTTTGAATCTTGCAGTTAGCTGCCTAATTGGTTCTCCCATTTTATTTGTTAATTTGGTTATTTGTGTCTTCTCATATTTTTCTTTTCTCAATTTGGCCAACAGTGTGTCAATTTCACTGATACTCTCAAAGGATCAACTTTCAGTATTACAGATTTTTTTCTGTTTTGATATCATAATTTCTACTCTAGTTTGGTCCATAGGATTTTTCAAAATTGGAAGATATAGCTTTTCTTCGTGGTGCCCCTTTGTGTAAAAGCACACTGAAACATATTCAGCATCATAACACCCAAGCTTTCAATGTCAGCAGTGGTTGCATGCTACGTGAAAGTAGCAAGGAAACAAATTCATGTTTCCTTCAAGAAATGTAAATTCCACCACTGATTACTTCAGTAAGAGTCTAAATACATTTTAATACAGCCTTACAAGGTGGTCCATCTAGACACTTCCTTTCTTAAGTACTGGGAGCTAAGAATGATTTTTTTATTTTTGAATGATTACATTTTAAATGGATATTTGAGTATCTATATAATAGACTCAACTTTGTCTTTTAGCCAACATAGGCTAAAATATTTGCACTCTAGCTCTTTAAGAAAATTTTTTAAGTTTCTACTATAAAGTAATAAAATTAATTTTATCATGAGTCAACTCCAAAAAGTGCATACTAAAGAGAGAAAAATGAAATACAATGAAAAATATAGGGAAAAATTTAAAAACAATACAATGATGTTTGCATACATGTATATGTAAGAAAAGTGTAAAATATGTTCACGAGAATGATAGTATACTAGTTCCTTCTAAAAAAGAAGGGAGAGAAACAGACTCGGTAAAGGTGCACATGGGATTTCAAAGGTCACTATAATGCTTTACATCTTAAACAAGTTCATGGCGAACTAGATACTTCATATGACTATTATTGTTTTTGAACACCTGAAATAGTTCATAAAGAGAACTGGAATAAGAAAACAGATATGAGAATAATCTGAAAATGTTAAATAGAATGTGTAAACTGTCTTTTTTTGTGCCATAACATACACAAGTTCATTTGGGGGCACTATCATTTACTTCAGTATATCCCCAGCACTTTGCAGTTTCTAACAATATAGTGTGTACTCAATATTTGTTGATTGATTGAATGGAAGCCATTAAAAGGAAAAGGAATGCATAAGAGCGTGTTCACACCTCATTAGTTTAAGACTGATAAGACTTCAGAGAAAGCATCTAGTGGGAACCAATTACAGGGAACTATATGTGACCTCCTCCCTGGGAGATGGACAACAGAAAAGTGGGTGAAGGGAGACGTCGGATAGGGCAAGATATGACAAAATAACAATTTATAAACTATCAAGGAAGGGCTCATGAGCGAGGGGGGAGCGGGGAGGGAGGGGAAAAATGAGGACCTAATGCCGGGGGTTTAAGTGGAGAGAAAATGTTTTGATGATGAGGGCAATGAATGTACAAAGGCACTTTACACAATTGATGTGTGTATGGATTGTGATAAGAGTTGTATGAGCCCCTAATAAAATGATTTTTTTTAAAAAGCATCTAGCAAATACTTGGCACATAGCACTCAAAAATGTTAATTATTCTCATCACTGGGAAAAAGTATTAAGACAAAGTCTTAATGAAATAAAATTAAAGATACTTAAAACATCTCTTTGGGGATAATAGTTTTTACCTTATTAAATCTAATACTCATAATCCCTGTGCGACATAATTCCCCATTTTGAGTTATATTAAAGTTGACTAAATATTTGAGACAAACTATTACATATTGTAACAAAGACAACTCTATTGTACACATAGCAAATATTACCCAGAATGATCAACATTTTTCTTCTTAGCTACATCCTCCTTGTTACTTTGCAATGACTTATCATAGTCGATAGCTCCAGACACTTTATCATTTGAAAAAGATGCTCTTGAACTGCCTTGAGTAGCTGTCTTCTGCCTTGTCAAGAAAGTAGTTGCTGTCCCAATATTCTTAGATGACTGATTTATTTTGTTAGCAGCTTTGTTCCCACTTTCATGATGCAATGATAATTCATTGCTATTGACAGGACCTGGAGGATTGAAGGATAACCTAAAATTGGCATAGCATCTATACAGATTATCTGATTCTCTGAGTATCAGTATTAGCTATATTTACACATTAAAAACTCACACAAGCAAATCTTATAGGCTGATTTTTCCCCCAGTTAAATTCTTAGACTATATAGTACTTCAATTTATAGCACAGAGACCCACCAAACTCACTGCCATCAAATCAATGCTAACTCAGAGACCCTATAGGACAGGGTAGACCTGCTCCTGAGAGTTTCCAAGAGTAGAAAGTCCCGACTTTCTCTCAAGTATAGATACCAGACTCTTTAAATCTATGATAAACTTCCAAAACTCTCTCTGGTTCTCCCCATTATTATTGTGGCTACCCCGGTGTTCCTCGGGGTTTCACCTTTAGCTTTTAACTATATATACTTGCTTTGAGGAATTCTGTTTGTCTCATGGCTTTAATCACTATCTTAGGCTCATTTATTTTGTACATAGTATCCAAGAGATCAGTCGCTACAAAGGGCTCAAAAGGCTATCATGGTTGGTAAAGTCCAAGTAGATCAGCAAAGTGCTGAAAACAATGGATACTGATGATCATGAAGATGGACAACTCAAGAGCAGGAAACTGACAATAATATGCTGCCTAAATTAAAAGTCACTCAAGACCCATGAACAAGCCCTACATCTTGCCAGATCACATTCTTAAGGTATTTTAAATCTGTTGCTCTATAGCTTTCCTTTCATAAGCAGAGGTCCTTACCATTTCTTTGTTTTGCCATTCCATTGGGTATAAAGTGGCCCATTTCAGAAGCAGAGAATCCCAACCCCAACCCTTTCCCCTATTCCACCCCCGCCACACACACAAAGAACCAAGAGTGGAGCACACCATGATCTCTGTTCTGTCCTCTGAGGCACAGCAGAAGAGCTGTGGTGGCCCATGAGACAGATGGATGGGCTTCCCAGGCCATGGAATGAGTAAAGCTGAGTACCTCCAGAGTAGGCTTGCTGAGTAGGCTGCCCTTTGGATACTTATTGGCCTTAAATGGGCCAAGGGAACATGTGACTGAGGCTGAGAATCAGAGATGTCAATGCAACATGGTTAAGAAGAGACACTGCCGACAAGAGAACTATATGCTTCTGATCTTAGCCTGTTTGCTTGCCTAGTAAACCCAGTAATTGTGAGTATTATCTGTAAGTTCTGTGTGGCCAATGCAAAAGATTATTGAACCAAGAATAGATGTAGAGTGACAGGGGGATGAGGGGGCAGTTGGTGGAAGAGTAAAAGATCAGGTAGAAGATGTTGAGATGATGATAGAGACAAGTCTGACCTCTGCCTTGTGAGAATCGACCTTGGGCAGGTGGAGAGTTCCCCTTGCCACTTGTGTAGCCAAAGAATTTCAGTGGTTTCCACCATTTCTATATCTGTTCTGTTCTGTTCTGTTCTGTTCTGGGCTTTTCTTTATTACCTATTACTAAGTGATATTATTTATCTACCTTGTCTTTCTCTCCCCACTAACATGTGAGCTCTAAGACAACAAAAACACTGCATGTAGATTTTGTTTTTCCAGATGTATCTTGGCTACCTAGATTACTACAAATAGCAGAGCCTCAACGAATATCTTTTTAATTGATTTAATATTGCTATTGATGACCAAATGAACCTTGTCCTCATATTTTCTCTGGAGAATAGAAATATAAAGCAAAGTTATAGAAAAATGAGTGAACAAAATTTTAGTTAACATACTTACTATACTCTGGAGTTACCTCCCACCATTTTGATGGTTTCCTGGAAATTCTTTGACTTTTTGTGACAGTTACATTTACTTCTTCAGATCTACGTTCCTGGTTTGGTCCCTTTGAAACGCACTTGTTTTTAAATGTTTCTTTAACTTTGTTCTGATTTTCTTTATTAGGAACATGGATGATGCTTTTCTTTTTTCCTAAAATAAAGAAGACCACAAAAACCATTCATAATCTACTGAAGCAAAGAGTTTTTAGAAAACCACAATAAATTTTTAAAATCCTCTCAGCTATTAAAAATTATCCCAAACCCACTGCCATCAAGTCAATTCCAACTCAGTGACACTATGCTAAGTTTATATATCTTTACAAGAGCAGACAACCTCCTCATCCCTCAGAGTACCTGATGGGTCCAAAGCGCGAACCTCAACACTTAACCCACAGCCCCTTCTTCTCAAGGATAGGAATGTCTTAAATTGATCTCCTGAGCTTTTGTTTCATCTCTTTTTAAATAGACTCATGTTCTCAATATGACCTTTAACATTGTCAACTACATACAATACTTTCACATTATCATTCATTGCTAAGTACCCCCCAAAAAACATCCAAAATCAACTAAACAATTATAACTATGAAAAATAATAGCTATATTTTTTTCTAATCATGTACCCCAATGACCCAAATAAAAAATGGGTCTCTCTTGTTGTGAAGTAATTGATAATTTGGAATGGTTAATATTTCAATTTAATATTAGGAATAGGAAAATTTTTTAAAAGGTTATTTCTGTGAATAGAACATTTTAAAACAGGAAATGAAAGTAGAACAAAATAAACATAACAAACAATAAGTAGGTAGTAAAAAGAATTAGTAGCAATAGCACTTTTACTGAAAAGACAGTTGGATAAGAAAAAATGATAGAATACACAAATTTTAGTTTTGGTTTTGTGACTATCAACTAGGAGAGAAGGAGGAAACAGGCTATTACAATACAAGTATTACAATTCAAAGAATACAAGGTTACCAAAATGGATGTAACAATGGAAATTTTATTGTCCTTAAAAGTATGTTTTAAACATTAAATGTCAGTAGATCAAAACTGGAGCAATTTATTGACCATCAAATAAATTAAGAATCCAAAATCTATTATAAATGTGAGAGGTTCAAAGGAAAAAACCATTAAAATCACTGCAAGTATGAAGTGTTAGTATACTGTAAATACAAGTAGGACCAACAGAGTATAGATATTATATGGAATTACATAACTATTAAACTATTCAGAACAAAAAAAAAACACAAGAAAGGAGAGACATCATGGAGATTAAAAAAACAGAGTGCAGGTCTATTTTGATAAGATAGGCTGGATAAACAATCTGGAGGAGAAAACAACGGAGTGACAATTACAGAGGGACAAGGGAGAGGGGAAGGGGGAGGAAAGGAAGTGGTGTTATCAAACCCAGGGAACAACAAGTGATCCAAAATCAGTGGTGAAGAGGGTGTGAAAGGCCTGGTAGGACCTCATTAAAGACAATGTAATCGAGAGGAATTACTGAAACCCAAACGAAGGCTGAGCATGATAGTGGAACAAGA